ACTTTGCAAAGAAAGATCATGTAGAGCTGGGAGATATCTCATTTTGATCAGAATTCCGCGGGCTACAATTTTGCCTCATTAAGAAAGGTGCTGGTTATCTTTTTAGAGTTTCTGAAAAACTGGTTTTTCAGAAAACCGGGTCTTAAAGGGCCCTCCGCCCAAATCCTTTTAGCCTTTTTGCCTACTGGTCCTCTATCGAATGATGTATGAACGAACGAAGTCGAAGCCGGACACCTGGGGCGGTTCCCTCGTAAGCACAGATTTTTACTACACTGGAAAAGAAAAACGTGTTTGTCTCGGCGTTGTATATGCATATAATCTACTGTTATTCTTGCTTCCTCAGGAAAAAAAAATAAATGTCCTTTTCATTTCACAATTCCATTAAAAATGAATGAGAAGGATTTGGATGAATTAATTAGATAACGAGTAAAATTATTCAAATTGAGAAATATGAAGGAGTCGCTTATCGAAGTCAAGCTTGGAAAATATTTTCTCTCATACGTCATGATACAGTTCTTCAAAATTTTGTTCAATGTGGTAATTGTAAAAAAGATTGAATTCAAAAGTATTTTTTAAAACTGTATGTTCTTTCTGACAAATGCATTTTTTGCTGAATATAGAAAAATGAATGAAATTTTCATACGCAAAACTTGTTTAAAAAAATGCGAACATTCCATGGACAGGAAAAAGGTGTCCATGCAGGTTTCTAGTTGGGGCTTGCAATCTATAATTGCTTGTTTACAATCCTGATGTACACAAGTCGTGTAAAAAAGAATCTTTTAGTTTCTTTTTCGATGATAATTCTTTCTCAAAACTTTTATTTTCAGGCTATCTCTCACATATATGTAGTAGACCATCGTAGGTTAGGTAAGATGAGGTGCGGTTAGGAAATTCATTTGAACTTTCTTAATCTAACCTAAGATTGTTGGTGAAGGCGTAGTATACATGTATATCATTACCCAATCTAAAAGTGAACTTCAGGAAATTTCGTTTTATACTTGTTCATTTTGAATTTCCACGAAACAGGAACGTATCAATTCTATATCCATGACACAATTTAAGACAATATGACTCATCACTTCTCACTAGCCTAGAAATTGATGGGATCGATCAGCTGTAAAGTATTCTGATAAATGGAATTACTAACGTATTAAATTTCATAGATTCTGCGCTTACATAATCAGGTCGTGTTGAACTGATAATTGAAAAAAATTCTAGATACATCCAGGCGTATCAACAGTTTTGTTGATTGAAGAAAGGTATGTTCTTTTTAATAAGTTGAATATGCCATCAATACAATTTCAAAGCACTAAAAAAAAAATACAAGTATTATTTTTGTCATAAATAGCTAGAATATATACAACAGAAATTTTTTCTCAAAATTATATTATGTTAGAAAAATGTGTTTTTTATTGCTGCAACAATCAGTATGAGTACCAAAAGATAATAATTTATATAGTTAGATTTTGCTGAAGTGCGATTTATTGTATACAATTTGTCATTTAACATCTGTAAATAAACACCATTAGTCCATCCAAATCCATCCTACAATTTTAAATAAATACAAAATATAACAAAAATTTTGTTTGATTAAATAAATTTTAAACTTACTTGTGTTGGATATTCCCCACCACCAGCATCAAGATTCATATTGACAACATCATATTTTTCTACCATTTTTCCACTTTTTTCAAAAACTTGTTCATTTCGTTTCATCCATCGATTAATTATTTCCTTAATTAACGGTGATGTTGGTTCATAATTTTGTATGCCTTTATATGAAATATATTGTAACGGTGCCCATCCATTTGGTGCATCCCATTGTTGATGACTATTCTCAGAAACTGTAGTAATGAGACCACCATCTTTAAGAAATAATTGTTCGATTTTATCAATAACATGTTTTGCCTGTTGATTTGTTGCTATCTTCATCCAAAGTGGAAACATGGCAGCTAATGATATTGATCGTGTATGTGTACCTTGAACAAAATTATAATCCATAAAAAAATTTTCTTTATCCGACCAAAAATATTTTATTATTGCTTCCTTTCGTTTATCTGCCAATTGTGCATAGCTATCAGATTTTGATTGATCATGTTTATGTTGATAAGCTTGAGATAAAACTTGTTCTAAATTAAACATTAAACAATTTAAATCAATGGGTAAAATTTGTGTTGTTATAATGGTGGATAAATCTGTTTCATTTATCATCCAACGAGTACTAAAATCCCAGCCAGATTCGGCCGCAGCACGAATATTTAAATAAATTTCAGTATCATTATTAGCTGTATGATAATCTTCATAATAGGATTCTGGACGTGGTCGAGAAATATCGTCATAATAACGATTTAATTTTGTACCATCAGGTAATTGAACTAATCGACGATTAGCACCTGTTGTTAAACCATTATTATTCATCCAAAATGCATATTCTTGTTCTAATTCTGATATATATTTTACTAGAAGATCTTCATCTACAATGGAATCCAATAATTCAATCATCAATGAGAAAAATGGTGGTTGTGATCGACTTAAATAATAATCTCTATTTCCATTTGGTATATGGTTGTATTTACGTATTAAATAAGCAAAATTTTCAACCATATTTGATATCAGTTGACTATAATTTGATTGTTTTAAACCTAACATAATAAAATAAGCATCCCAATAATAGGATTCACGAAAACGACCACCGGGTATAATGAATGAATTCGGTAATACTAGAAGTGACGAATCGGATGTTGTAGAATTGCGTATTAAATAGGGCCAGAGCCGATGACAATGCTCAACAATTGTCCAATTTGCATGTTCTGGTAAAAGTTCGATCGGTGGTGGTGGCTCTTGAAAATTTTTTTGAACAAACTCCGTTAAATTAAAATTTGTTACAGTACGGTTTCGATATAATTCAAGTATTTGTTGAGGTGATCGTAATGGTATACAGTCCGAGAATGTTTTTGAGTCCTTGAAAATACGATTTAATTGTACGTCAACGAATAACTCTTGGTATAATTCATCAGGTGATTGACCATGAACATTAAGTAATAGAGAAGCAAGAGTAACAGCGAGAATACTATACAAAAATAACATATTTGACATATTATACGAATATGTCAATATTGAAGCGAAAGTATTTTATTTTATTCACAGATCAGAGTTTAATAAAGGTGTTAACATTGTTTTCAAACGTGAATAATCACATGAGATAAAATAGTGAAGAGAAAAACAAATATAACGTGTAATAATGATTCTTTTACTCTTTTTATCTTAGTGTTCTATACGAAAGGAATCATATGGTAATACTGAAATGACACCTATAAATTAATAAAATAATAGTTGACGAAATTTAAATATACAAATGTCTACCCAAGTAATAATTCTGTGTAGAGAGGAGCTAGTTGTAACATAAACGTAACCGGGCAGTTATCTACGACGTGGAACTAGGTAAATGTACCTTTTTACATAGTTCGGTAGCTCCAACCTAGTAGTGAACCGAGTACTGGGTTATCATAATCGAGCAGGAACGGGAGGTTGACATCTAGCTTATTCGCTCAGTTAATCGGCGATTAAATTAGCTTCGAACACGAAGTATATTTGATAAGAGGGTGGTTGTCGGTTAGGTTAATCTATCGGTTGAAGCTAGCTCCACTAACCGATAGATGCATGGATCAGTTGACTATTCGGTTAACCTGGTAGACAACCTGCCATAATGTGAAGAACTAGCTTAACCGTTTGGTTCTGTGTTGGATTACATTTTGAGATACTAGCTCAATCGGATAAGAAATCAATCTGCCTAGCTTAACTGCCCATTCCTAGCTCATTGTTTTTTGCTTGGGTATTCGTATGTATTGTATGTAATAGAGTCTCAATGAAATACAGACAGCAAAGATTCTTTTCTTCGAGTTTCCAAACTGAAGTCTTTTTATAAATCATAAGTGATCAGTGTACAAGTGGAATCAATAAAACATCTGAAAGCCAGAGTGAACTCAATGTGCCCAATAAAAAAGAAGTAAGCACAAAATCTGCCTGGAAAAATAGTTGCAATGGCAGCTTGCATCTACATTAACAAGGTTAAAAGGGGCTTTTATCGATTAAAATCATACTCTAACTGAAGAGGCCTCTGTCAGATAACTGAGCAGTTCATTATCCTATTAATCGAGAACAGTTAATTGGACACAATCGAAGCTAGATGTCAACTAATTGTAGATAGATAAAACGTACATGTAATTTGGTGCAGCTACATTCAAGCAAGATAAATGTGCCTTTAAGGCCCTTCTCCCGGGAAAGAAAACCGAAAGATAGAGCTCGGGCTGTTTTTATTTTGCTGTAAATACCTATAGCTAGGAGTTCACAAAGTCCGATTTATGAATTATCTCATTTACTGATATCTGGTGCTTAATTAGGTATGCACCGGTGTCGGTTAACCGATACCGAAGAAACCGATATTCAGTTTTAACCGACACCGAAAAACGCTCAAACATTTTTATCTAAGGTTTTAAAATGATTTACACAGTGAGCATATAACATCTGTTTACTATTGTTAAAGAAACATCTGACTTTATTTGTAACTGTTTCAGTCAACCGATAATCGAAAACTAAAACCAGAAAAAGCACACATAAATCTACATCCTGACTTAACGAGTTATATATAGCTTTCAGAATTTCACAACAATACTTTTTTTTTTTAATCATAACGTTGTTTATTAAGAAAAGGATACAACAAACTTGACTTAGCGAGCAGACCAAGGTCTATGGTGCAGAGTCAACCAAACAATCTAACGAAGAAGTAAGACAACTACATA